CTTCTTCTTCTTCTTCTGAACACCAGCTCACTCGCCCAACCACAGCAGTCCGTCGACCACCCTGCCAAGCTCCGCCATTGACGAGCTCGTCAAGCTCCCTGCTGCGCGTCTCCTTCTTCTTCTCCGACACTGCTGCTGCTGCGTTCTTCATCCTTAACTGCTGCGTCGCTGCTGCTCCATCGTGCTGCTACTGCCAGCTTCACGTCGCCATGGACGCTGCTGCTTCTTCTTCGTCGAAACCCAGCTCCACCTCGTCGCTACTACTGCTGTTCGTTGCTTCCTTCTTCAGTTCTTCGATCGTCCGTTCGTGGTCATCTTCGGCGTAGAAATTGTTTTGGTGCGATAATCGTTTCCGGACAGATTTGTTTTCATTCAAGTTCTTCGTCGTTTCGATCCGGTTAGTGGGTTTGAGTTTCATTATGTCCGTATTTTATTTTGATATTCTCGGATCTAAAATCGGTAAATGTTTGATTCTTGTTTTGTTCGTGTTCATCATTTAATTAATTAGTTTTTCAGTTTGTTCATGTGTTTTATTTATTAAAAGAAATTGTTAGTTTAATTTTAATGTTATTAGATTCAAATTGAAATTTAATTAATTAGTTTTTCAGCTTGTTCATGTGTTTTTATTTATTAAAAGAAATTGTTAGTTTAATTTTAATGTTATTACATTTAAATTGAAATTTAATTAATTATTTCTTCAGTTTGTTTCATGTATTTTTATGTATTTTTTTAGAAATTTTAAATGTTGTTAGATTCAAGTTGAAATTCAATTAATTATTTCTTCTTCGGTTGTTTTTATTCGTTTAAAAGAATTTAGTTGTAATATAGAAATATGTCAGTTTAATCGCTTGAATCATCCATGTTTGTTGTTTAATATAGATTTAATTCATGTTCATTTTTTGTTTGAAGTTCGTTTTTAATCTAGTGATTTAATGTGAGTTTATGTTTTGGTTTTAAATTTTGATTTAGTTTGAATCATGTATCTTTGTTGTAATTTTGTTGGATTTAATTTGAAGATCAATTGATTATTTGAGTTTAGTGATTTGAATCTGTTTATTTATTTTGTTTAAGTTTAATTTGAATTTGAGCTCATGCTTTGAATATATTTGTTTGTTATTGTTGGTGAATCTGAAAATAGGTTTGTTGTTTAAAAAAAACATTGTTCAGTCAAAATAATTCAAGTTGTTTCTTTGTTGTTCATCATTTAGTTTGAATTTATTCATAAAATTTGATTAGGAATTAGTTATAGCTGCTATATTTTGGTTAGAATTGATTAGCTGAATTGGTTATAGCTGACGGGTTAGATTGGTAAAATGCAGTATTTTCAGGGGTAAAATGATAATTTCAGTAAGGTCAGAGGGGTATTTTTGGAATTAAAAATCTGAACAATTATTTATTTTGAGTGTTTTGTCCATTAAGATTAAATAATTTTTTTTAATAATATTAAAATAGTACATGGTGGGGGACAAGACATAATGGTGGGGAATAATGCATTTGTTTAATATAAGCATGGGGAACAAGATATAATGGTGGGGAATAATGCAATTGTTTAATATAAGCATGGGGAACAAGATATAATGGGGGAAGGATAATGTATTTGTTTAATATAATGGGGGACAAAACATTAGGTAGTAGGGATTAAAAGAGAGATGAGTGGAAGATAGTGGGTTTTAATTTTTAAAAATTGCTGAAAGATGGTAATAAATAGGGGACTTGGACAATTTTAAAGGGGGAGGACAGAAAATAAGATAGAGGGAAAAAATGAGAGAGCTGAATATTGAAGAGAGAGAAAAATTCCGAAAATATTAAAACTTCCAAAAAATACAAATAAAAACATTCTGGAAATTAAAAGAGTGAGTAGTATACACCTGATATACAATCTAAATATTCTGATATACGGATTCAGAAATTAAGGGTTAAGCATTAGCTAGTCTTTCAAATCTGAAAAAAATTCTCTTTGCTTTGGTCTGTTGATTGTTGTTGGTGTTTCTGGATTTTTATCTTGAGTTTTAAAATCCGTCACTGGTTTCTCATTGCTGGTTGTTGCTGGTTACTGGGTGTCGCTGTTGTTGCATGCTACTAAATTTCTGCTAATCTCCCTTTTCTTTTGCTTCCAATATCAGGTACACAACTGACACGCTAGTTATTGTAAACTGAAACATGAAGCATGAATACGAAAAATGAAGAGTTGAAGTTCTGAATTATATTCTGAATTTTATTTTAATTATATTCTGAATTTTATTTGTATATATAAATTATTTAGCTTACTCTAATCAGAATCATGTAGTTGTTTAAAATATATAGTGGAACATCTGACGATTGCTTAACGGACGAACTATCTATATATTGCCTAAAAATAAATAAATGGTGTAGTAACTCCGTCTAGTTAATTCGTTATTGTTGGATGATTACCATGTCTCAAAAAGCACGTTAGTTCATCAAACGAAATGACCATTTAGGAACTTGTAGGAATGTGGTTTAGTTAAATACTATTGGTTAATTTCAGCATGTAAATGGTTTAGAATTAAAATTAGATTGCTAATTTTTTTTTAATTTGACAAACTGTGAACATGCCTAGTATAATGTAACTAGGTAGTAACATGTGAATAAGATGGCACAGGTCTAGTTTATGCCATACACGTTGAGCCTGGGCCCGCATTGGCAACGGACTACCCTGCTTGCATTATTTTCAAAATTTATGAATCATATTCGAAACCCAATTATAACAACTCAGGCATTTAAATAAATTAAGCCCTTTTCTCTTTCATTTTGTAGAGACAATTTCAATAGAAAAAATGTAGGCACTTTAGGATTATCCTTTTAAAATAAATGAGATGAGTCTCGCCCAATAAAACCCACAAATTACGGGGGCCTCGATAAATGTTTAATTAAAATTACTTAGACTTCGGGATGAGTCGTTTAGCAAAATTCCACGATCTTACCCAGAAATAATAATACGCTAATCGCTTTAGGCGTGCATTTTAATAATCTTACCTTCTTAAACTCGGGTGTGCATTTCATGCGACCCAAATCCAAATCCCAAAACATTGAATAAAAATACGTTCCGGATCGCGGGTGCATTTCATGTGACGCAATCCAAAGACATGTTTTTAAACGATGTTCACATTCTTTTAAAAATATAATAATAAAAGCGGTAAAGAGTTAAAAATTTGCACATGAACTCATAATTGTATAAAATCAGATAAACAAACCGAATATGACAGTTGAGCGACCGTGCTAGAACCACGGAACTCGGGAATGCCTAACACCTTCTCCCGGGTTAACAGAATTCTTTATCCAGATTTCTGGTTCGCAAACTATAATACAGAGTCATTATTTTCCTCGATACGAGATTAAATTGGTGACTTGGGACACCTTAAACCTCCCTAGTGGCGACTCTGAATAAATAAATAAATCCCGTTTCGATTGTCCTTTAATTGAAAAAACTCCTTCACCCCTTGCGGGGACGGAAAAAGGAGGTGTGACATTAGATTTTATAAATTGTAATCTAAGAGAGCAAAAAGCAAGATAAAAGGGAATAAGGAAAAGTGGCAACGTAAATCCCCCTTTACTTCTTTTATCTTTATCTTACATGAAATTGATGCTTATGATTTGCTAAACTGTTGGTTTGGACTGGTTAAAAACTGTGTTGAAGGTGTCGAGATGTAGAACGGAAACTTGGGAATGAATGGAAGGTAGTTGGGATGGTGTGAACAGCTGAAGCAATGTGTTAATTGTTGCCTTAACGTTGTTTGCTTGCCAGGTCTGGTGACAGCAAGCTTAATCGCGATCACAGGGCATTGGCCGCGATGCGGCCAAGCATGATTCTCTGGAGCAGTGTTTCAAGTACAAAAAGATAATGTGAATTGCAAGAGGTTAGTCGAGCCTAGATTAGAATAACACGAACCTCGATTGCAACACATGCACCACAATTGTGATTGACCTTCACTCTTTGACCCCAGACGTAGCTAACAGTTTCATCTATTCCAAATATGCTTATCAGATCTGAAATGAACTTAACTAACGATATGGTTAGTCAAATGAGGGCATGAACTTATCCAGTTCAAAAAGGAACTCAGTATGCTATCTGAGGGATCCTGTGATATTGAACTTATTAAGTTGTGGGATGAGTTAGACTCTCTTAACAATAATTCTTATTGCAGCTGTGATTGTCAATATGATGGAAAGGTAAAAATGATTAAGGACAAGGAAACTCTGAAACTTAATCAGTTCTTAATTGGCCTTAATGACTCTTATAGTGGTACCATAAGAAACATAACTATGATGAAACCTACACCTAACATCGGTCAAACTTGTTCTCTCCTACTTCAAGATGAAAAATCTGAATCCAGACTCTTTCACACCATGTTCCTGAATCAGCTTCTTTCTCTGCTGGTTCCTCATCAGAAGGGCAGACAAATCCTCCCAAAACAAATTTCTCTGGTCCTAAAGAAGTCTATTACTGCAAAAAACCAGGCCATACCATTGATAAATACAATAGATTCCATGGTTTGAGAATGATTCCTTAGGGGTCGTTTGGTAAGCAGGATAAGGTGGGATAAGATATGAGATTAAATTATACTGTGTTTGGTTGACGGTATAAATTTATCCCGGGATCCCTTAGTGTTTAAGAATTTTCACAAAGTTGGTAAATTAATTGAGATATGGTGGGATGAACAAGTCATGGATAGTAAATGTACTCAACACTTCGTAAAATGTTAAATTTAATTTAGAGTTATGGGAAGAAGATTGGAGATTAAATTTGGAGTAAACAAGTGCTACTTGACTATCCGTTTTTGGATCCAACACTGGTATCTCTTCCTAATTAGTATCCAAGTCTAATCTAAATACTTTATCATGTGATTAAGTGCTCAATTGGAGCATGCCTTTGTTTGAGTGTCTAAATGATATATGTACGAGCAAATTCAAGGGGATGTTAATGTATTTTGCCTTCTCTGGAGGAATATATGGATAATCGTTCAAGTTAGTACTCCCTCTGTTTCAATTTAGATGACACACTTTCCTTATTAGTCCGCTCCAAAAAAATGATACATTTCTACACTTTCTTTATTAGTCCATTCCATGATAGTTCAATTTTAGTAAGAATTATCTATTTAAAAACTCAGTGAACTCCTTTACGATTTCCTATTTTCGAATGTGTTCGCTTGCTGGTACTCTACTCGATTTTCCATCTCTCTTGTCATCTCCGCTAACTTTTATGAGTCACCGTCTATTGATTAATTGTGACACCACTTATGAGAAATTCTGTGTACGTACTACCTGCATTTTTGTAAGAGGTTGTTTCCACTGCTTTGAGCTCCTGATCACATAGAGACAACTTTACAAGTTATGTCAAGGCTCCCACTATGGGCGGGGTTCAGGGAAGAGCGGGACCACAAAGGTCTATTGTACGTAGTCTTACACAACACTTTTGCAAGAAGTTGTTTCCACTAGTCGAATCGGTGACCTCTTGGTCAAATGGCATCAACTTTACCAGTTACATCAAGGCTCCCGCTATGCGACGGATCCGAGAAAGGGCGGGATCACAAGGTCTATTGTTGACAGTCTTACCCTACATTTTTTGCTAGAGGCGATTTTCAATATTTGAATCTGTGACCTTTTGGTCATGTGTCAGCAACTTTACTAGTTACGCTAAGGCTCCCCTCCTTAATATTTTGATTTAATATGTATAAATATTGTATGACGTACCGATGAGTTGTTTGCTTCCCCTTTCTCTTTTTCTCCTCCATTTTCTTTTCCTCTTTCCATGTATGCAATTTTCACTAGTCAAGCCAAAGTTCAAGTTTTCATGTCTGATGTATAAAAGGTAGACAAACCTTTATTAGGAGAAGTAGAAAAACAAGAACAGAAGAAACTGAAGAAAGAAGCATAAAGCATATAGCAGGAAATAATTTACTGCAGATATAGCCAGAGGGATTCAGAAAGAAAGATCTGTGAGAGAGAAGTAAAACTGGTTGGATAAAGACAAATTGAAAGGCTAACATTAAAAAAGAAGAATCAAATAAAGATAACTTTTCCTAAATATTGAACAAATGACAACCACAACTGAGCATACTCATCGAATATGCTTATTTTCTAATGAAACCATATTCATATCCCTTTGATTCCAAGAAAAAATAGAAAGCTTAACAGCTAGTTATTTACAGTTAACTAAATAGAAAGCAGTTCTCGTAAGCAAACCAGTCAAAAGGAAACAAATGCAGTCAAACAAAATAATTCAAAAAAAAAACATGACACAAGATCTGGAAATTAGAAAGATAAGTAAAGTTAGAACATGACCTCTTTAAACTTCAACCTTTCCTCATCCAAAAAACTTGACTTTTAACAACTTGAACAAGCAGAAACGGACAAGACCATGAACCAGCCCTCAGACGGAGTATCGAAACTCGCCGGCAAACTCGAAAACGGACAGAACGTCAACTGTGTTAGAACGGGGCAGAAGCAGGCTGTCTAGGTTGACTTTGGTGGTCGTTTCAGCTCGTTTTCCGGTGAGCTTCTATGAACGAAAAGAAGCAGAAACAGCGATGGGTGAAGGGGAGCAGGCTACCGTGACTGCGACGGGGAGGGACTGCTGAAGATGTTGGAGAACAGGGGTGGTTTCCTTTAGTGAAGACGACTGATTTCCAGCTCTTTTCTAGGTCTCTTAGGCTTGTTTTTTTGTTCCGTTTTTTTCTGATTTGGGGACCAAAGAAGATCGAAAATGATGGTCCTCTTATTTTTTAGTTTTTCTATCTATCTTTCATGTATGTTGCCGCTGATTTTAGGTCCCAAGAGTTCCTTTTGCTTGTATTCTTTTTCTTCATTCACCAGATCAAGGAGATCGTTTGGGATGGGTTCTTCATTTTCTGAAAACGGCGCTGCCTTCTTCAGCTGCTCTCCCCTTAGGCGTTAGTCTAGGTCCCGATATTTGTAGTCTAGGTTTAGGTTATTTATTTTGCTCTTAGGTCTTTAGTTCCGTTTTATTTATCTTTTGTTCCTAAGAAGAGATTAGAAGGGTCCTTAGGATTAGCTTAATAGGTATTGGGTATTGGGTTTAAGGAATGAGTCAAGAATTGGGCTCTAAAACTCTTAAAATTATGGTCTAACATCTTAATTAACTTCCTTTAATATAAGATAAAAATACTACACAATGCAAAAACTAATTCTAATTAATTAAACTAAACTATATTAAAACATAAAACTATTATATTTTTTGTATTTTTAAGATTATATAAAGATAAAAATAAGGTACTATTTTTGTTTTGTTTTTTTATTTTATGAAAGATACATAAAATAAAATATTTTTGTGACGACATAAAGTAAAAGAGTCAAATTAACTGAAATAACTATATTATGCCTAAACCAAGTATTTAAATGCTAAAATATGAAAAAATCTTGGGGAGGGTCAAAAATCACATGTCTACAAAGTAATTAAAATAATTCAAATTAAGTCTTTAGCATAATAATAATCTCAAAATAAAGGTGAATAATACGATTTGCGGAATACACATAGCCCGACATCGGGGTGTCACCCGTCATGAGCATCTATCATAAAACTACAAGTCTGAAAAAGTCTACACAACTATTACATAACTAGGACAAGGGAAAGAAATAATGATAAGAGGGAGAGACACTAGGCTACGAACGCCGAGCAGTTACCTAGTGAACTCCAAAATCTGCTGGAAGCTCTCAACCCTCGCAAGCAGGACCTGAAGCGCCTAAATTTGCACACGGGGTGCAGGGAATAAAGTGAGTACTCAAACTCAGTGAGTAATAATAATAAATGAAGACTAAGCAATAAGAAATCACGTAAAGGCACATCAACAGGCTATAAAGAAGCAGTATTAAGCCAGTGAAAGCAATGAAATAGTGAAAACATGTAAAGTCACCTTAGTTCAGTTTAAGCTTCTTTAAAAATGCCTTTTTAACAGGTAAGCAAGTAAATGACAGGCAGCTAGAAAAGATAAACACATAAAGAACCGCCCCTCAGGCATAATACCGACAGAATCAGCCCATCGGGCAACACATGGAACAGCACCAGCCCCTCGGGCTATATCTCATTTCACAATGGGTACCCGCGCTCACTGGGGGTGTGCAGACTCCTGGAGGGGCTCCTTACGACCCAAGCGCAATATCAAGTCATCTCGTGGCATAATCAATAGGCTCTTGGCCTAATATAACCAAGCCACCTCATGGCGTACAATCTTAGGCCCTCGACCTCATAATCATAGATCAGTGTATCCTCACAACACAGGTCTTCGCCCTTACTCAGTCAGAATCTCATAATCCACTCGGGAAACAGTAAAATATGATGCTCAACCCAAATTATCATTTAAAATATCATTTAATGTATTAAAATAGAGTAAACATGTTGAGTTATGAAAACAGTAGAATATAGCATGACTGAGTACAAGTACAAAGTCAAAATAGTGAGGAAATATCAGTAGAAATTCCCTAAGGATCCAAATAGTTGACACGAGGCCCAAATATGGTATTCCACCCAAAACATAATGATAGCAAATAGTTTTCAATCAAATAGCGGTAAAACAGTCATTCGGGACGAACTAAGTCACAATCCTCAACGGTACACGACCCTACGCTCGTCATCTAGCGTGTGTCACCTCAATATAGTACAACGATGTGAAATTTGGGGTTTCATACTCTCAGGACAATATTTAAAATCATTACTCACCTTAATCTGGTCCAAACTCTAGCCCCCGACGCCTTTGCCCCTCGAATCGGCCTCAACTCGCGTCGAATCTATCAAAAATCAGAATCACAACGTCAAAATATGTTAAAGGAACGAACCCTATGCGAAAATAATCAATTTACAACATAAATTCCGAAATTAACCAAAACCCGACCCCCGTGCTCACATCTCGGAATTCGATAAAATTTACATCAATAGATTTCTTATCACCCCACGAGTTCATACATATCAAAAGTCCCAAAATCCGACCACAAATGGCCCCTCAAATTCTCAAGTCAAGGTCTCCAATACCAAGCCATAGTTCCCAATTTTGAACCCTTAATTTCCATAATTATAGCTCAAATTTGTGAAATATACCATAGAAATGAGTTTTAGATTCACAAATCTTATCTCCAGACGTTATCCCTGAATCCCTTTTCAAAATGCTCCAAAACTGAGTTGAAATGATGAAGAACAACTCAAAAATCGCGAAGGAATTCTTTTATACATTCTAGTCGAGGCTTTTTGCACCTGCGGCCCTTTTACCGCTTCTGCGATCTAGACCATCGCTCCTGCGGTTTCCAATTACTTGACTATTTCGGCATCTGCGGTTAAAATATCGCACCTTCACCACCGCAAGTGCGCCTTCTCGATTGCTTCTGCGAGACCGCACATGCGGTCACCTAGCTGCATGTGCAGTTATGACTGCAATGGAACATCTTCAGCTGCCAAACCAACTTCCAAACTTTCCGCCAACCATCCAAAATCACCTAGAGGTCCCCGGGACCTCAACCAAAAGCACAAACACATCATATACCACTATTTTAACTTGTACCAATCCTCAAAACATCTCGAACAACATCGAATCAACAGAAACACATCGGGTTCAAGCCTAAGGTTCCAAAATCTTTCGAATTCCACTTTTGATCAAAAAGTCTACCAAACCACGTCCGAATGACCTGAAATTTTGCACACACATCCCAAATGACACAAAGGTCCTACTGCAACTCCCGGAATTCCATTCCGACCCATATATAAAATCCCACCTATCAACCGAAAAACGCCAAAATTCCAATTTTGCCAATTCAAGCCAAAATCTACTCCGGGCCTCCAAAACACATTCCGATCACGCTCCTAAGTCTCAAATCACCTCCCAAAGCTATTCGAACCATCGAAACTCACATTCGAGCCCTCTAACACATAAGTCAATATCCGGTTGACTTTTCCAACTTCAGCTTCCTCTAAAGAGACTAAATGCCTCAAACCTCACCAAAACCTTTCAGAACTCGAGCCAACCAACCCGATCACACATAGAACTGATAAACAAAGCAATAAAAAGTAGAAATGGGGGAAACGAAGCGGTAACTCATAAGACGACTGGTCGGATCGTCACATCCTCCCCCTCTTAAACAAATGTTCGTCCTCGAACGAGTCAAGAAACATACCTGAAACCTCAAACATGTGAGGATATCTGCTCCGCATCTCCCGCTCGGTCTCCCAGGTAACCTCCTCCATAGACCGACCTTTCCACTGCACTTTCACTAAAGCTATATCCTTTGATCTCAACTTTCGAACTTGATGCCCCAAAATAGCTACTGGCTCCACATCATAAGTCAAATCATCATCTAACTGAACCGTGCTTAAATCTAAAGCATGAGACGGATCCCCAATATACTTCCGAAGCATAGAAACATGAAATATCGGATGCACACTCGACAAGCTGGGTGGCAAAGCAAGCTCATAAGCCACCTCTCCAATCCTCCGAAGCACCTCAAAAGGCCCAATGAACCGAGGACACAATTTACCCTTCTTCCCAAACCTCATAACACCCTTCATGGGTGAAACCTTCAACAGAAACTTCTCACCAACAATGTAGAACACATCTCGAACCTTCCTATCAGCATAACTCTTTTGTCTCGACTGCGCTGTACGAAGCCTCTCCTAAATTACCTTTACCTTTTCTAAAGCATCCTGCACCAAGTCTGTCCCCAATAGCCTAGCCTCACCCGGCTCAAACCAACCAATTGGAGATCTACACCGCCTCCTATACAAAGCCTTATATGGAGCCATTTGAATACTCGACTGGTAGCTGTTGTTATAAGCAAACTCTGCAAGTGGTAGAAACTGATCTCATGATCCTCCAAAATCAATGACACAAGCACGCAACATGTCCTCCAATATCTGAATAGTGCGCTCGGACTGCCCGTCCATATAAGGGTGAAAAGTTGTGCTCAACTCAACCTGATTACCCAACTCTTGGTGTAGAGACCTATAAAACTGCGAAGTAAACTGAGTGCCCCTATATGAAATGATGGAAACTAGGACACCATGCAAACGAACAATCTCCTGGATATAGATCTCTGCCAACCGCTCTGAAGAATAGGTAGTACACATAGGAATGAAGTGCGCAAACTTGGTCAGCCGGTCCACAATCACCCAAATAGCATCGAACTTCTTCAAAGTCCATGGGAGTCCAACTACAAAGTCCATAGTAATCCTCTCTCACTTCCATTTTGGAATATCCATCTGCTGAAGCAAGACACCCGGTCTCTGATGCTCATATTTCACCTGCTGACAATTGAGACACCGAGTTATAAATCCCACAATGTCTTTCTTCATTCTCCTCCACCAATAATGTTGTCTCAGATTCTGATGCATCTTTGCGGCACCCGGATGAATGGAATACCGCGAGCTATGGGCCTCATCCAGAATCAACTCCCAAAGCCCATCCACATTGGGCACACAAATCCGGCCATGCATCCTCAACACCCCATCATCACCAATAGTCACATCTCTGGCATCATCGTGCTGAACTTTGTCCTTAAGGACAAAAAAATGCAGATCATCATACTGGCGCTCTCTGATGCGATCATATAAGGAAGTCCGAGAAATCACACAAGCCAATACCCGACTGAGCTCTGAAATATCCAACCTCACAAACCGATTGGTCAAGGCTTGAACATCAACTGCAAGAGGTCTCTCCCCAACTAGAATATATGGCAAACTCCCCATACTCACCGCCTTTTAGCTCAAAGCATCGGCCACCACATTGGCCTTCCCGGATGGTACAAGATAGTAATATCATAATCCTTTAGCAACTCCAACCATCTCCGCTGCCTCAAATTGAAATCCTTTTGTTTGAATAAGTGTTGGAGGCTACGATGATCAGTAAACACCTCTCAAGGCACACCATACAAGTAATGCCTCCAAATCTTCAATGCGTGAACAATGGAAGCCAACTCCAAATCATGAATGAGGTA